CTGATATGCATATCATTTGATAGATCTCATTTTTCTCTATCGAATAATGTATAATTCAATGTCTTCGGTACTATATTTCTTATCGTATAACCTCGAAAACTGAATAGGTGTACTTATTATTGATTATTTACCTTTTTTATTCATACTCACTATTGTGCCATCGCTGATACTTACACCAATCGATAGATCTCAGTTTTTGCTATCGAATGGTGTGTGATTTAATGTTTTCTCTGGTATATTTTCTATCATATAAGCTCAAAAACTAGCCGGGTGTACTTATTGTTGAGTATTCAGCTCTTTTATTCATGCTCACTTGTGTGCCAGTGTTCATACATACGCAAATGAATAGATCTCATCTTAGTCTATCGGACGATGTATAACTCAATGTCTTCGCTATCATTTCTCTTATCAAAGAAGCTGAAAAGCTCAACAAGTGTACATATTGTTGAGTATATACCGTTTTTATTCATATTCACATTTGTGCCAGCGTTGATACATATACCAATCGATAGATCTTACTTTGCTCTATCGAATGATATGTAACTCAATGTATTCGCTACTATATTTCTTATCATATAAGCTCAAAAACTCAGTAGGTGCGCTGACGGTTGATTATTCACCTTTTTTATTCATAGTTACTTTTGTGCCAAGGCTAGCATATATATTTTTTGATAGATCTCATTTTTCTCTATCGAATCATGTATAGTTCAATTTATTCGCTATAATATTTTCTACCATATAAACTCAAAAACTGAATAGGTGTACTTATTATCGAGTAGTTACCTTTTTTATTCATATTCACTTTTGTGCCAGTGCTGATCAATACACCAATCGATAGATCTCATCTTCCTCTATCGAATAATGTGTAATTCAATGTAATCGCTGCTATGTTTTCTACCATATAAACTCAGAAACTGAATAGGTTTATTTATTATTGAGTATTTACTTTTTTTATTTATATTCACTTGTGTGCCAATGTTGATGTCTATACCAATCGATAGACCTCACTCTTCTCTATCGAATGATGTATGATTTAATGTTTTCTCGGGTATATTTTTTCATCATATAAGCTCAAAACTTAGTAGGTGTACTTATTGTTGAATATTTACCTTTTTTATTCATATTCACTTTTTTGCCAGTCTTGATACATACACCAATCGATATATCTTTTTGAGCTGCACCAAGTGAGCTATAATTCAGTTATATTTTCATGATATTTTGAACCATAGAACATCTAAAGGACTGAGTAGGTGTAGAAGATATGACAAATTTTACTCACAGATTCGCTTTCGCCTATGTGCCAAGATTCGAACATGTACTATTCGATAGATCTGACTTTCTTCCATCAACAGGAATATACATGAATGTCATACGGATCGATATTTCAATAATATGTATTCGAAACTTAAAGGAATATGTTTTAACAGGTATTTTCTCAGACGATTTATATATGAATCTGTGCCAATGGTAATATATGTTTTATTCGATAGCTTTCATATAGTTCTCTCCTTTCATATAGGACTTCTGGTATTTGTATGAACTTTCGAACTTGCATCGCCTAAACAAGTCAGATATTTTTATTTTTTATTCAATTTTATTGAAATATTCCTAGTTAACTAAGTTTTCAACATCTGGAGTAATGCTAAGTATGGAGAACACAAGAAAAGATAGAATTATAAGAGAGACAAACGGTAAGAGTTTTGAATGATTGAAAAATCATAAAGAAAATAATATAGAGAGTGTAGGTATGGCTGTAAATGAGTTGTGATGTAATCAGAACTGAAAAAAGTAAAAAGCATGAAACTTATATGTTTTGACACGAAATATTCTTTAGCTGTAGTGCATCGTTTCATTGCAACTACATCATGTGCCTTATGATATGACATGGGACACGCCTATAACTCATCTATGTGTACATACAATAACATAGGCTGCTATACAATTAAATGATCAACGAATATGTATGAGTAAAAAAGAAAAGAATTTGGAAAACGAAACCTATCTCAATAAATTAGAAATAATAACGCACGTTCTAGTTGTCATTGTCTTGCGTTTCAATAGCATAAATTGCTGTTTCGGCAACGTCATCGCCACCTTCATTGTTTTTTACGCCAAATTTGTTGAGATCGTCATATTTAGAAAATCGTCCTTTAGCACAAACAATAGTAGCAGTAAAATGATTTGCTTGTGGACAAATTGCTCCTGCTAGATTATAACTAAAAATAAATATTAGTTTTGTTTAAAAATTTTATTTATATAATTGTATGACTCACCGTTGTTTTCCAATAGTAAGTGCAAATGGTAAATCCTTAACCATCGTTGCTACTGTTTTGTTTTTCTCGATGGTAATTACACTTTTCCCAACATTCAGGAGTACGATCGGTGGTGATTTATAAACGAATTGATGGGGTTTAGCAATTCGATTGGAATTACATACAAACATTGTTCTAAATCATCATGTATAAAAGATAAATTTTTACGCAAATCAATCGGGTACACTCACGTGATACCATTACCATGTTTTGCCGGAAAGAAATCATCTCGAATATAAGAACCATTGTACGTTGTTGGTTCATCAGGACCAATGGTAGCACCACAATTTGTAGTAAAGTGTTCAGAAAAATTTATTAAATTAATGATACGACGATTACGACCACTAACTTGTCTGAAAAGGAAATCGTTTATTAGTTTGCAACAGAGATTAATATGAAAAAAGAAGCTTACGGCAGACTTATATCGACAGAATGTGAATGTCTGATGGGCTTAGGACATTCTGAACACGTGCACGTAGATTCGATAACATGCTTTTGTATCTCTCTTAAATATTGAAAGACATTTGTATCAGCAGTTCCATATAAATCAATATGTGCACAACCAGCTTTTGGATTTGAATAGATTGAATTAGCAGTAATCCAATACATTCTCGCAAGATCCCATCCTTTACTTTCAACGAGATCGAATGTTTTTCGTAATCGATCACAAACTTTAATATCGGAATCGAATAAAGAACGAAATTCGTCAGAATGTGACATATAAATATAATAAAGTAAAAATAAAGATGAATCTAATGAGCAGGTATTTGAGGCAGAATATTGACGATCACTACTGATAAAAGTTGACCCAATATTAAAATGTGGAAATTGTAATTTTAAATTTCCAATTGTCGTATGTGTCGGCCAGTTCTTTGGTAAACGAAATTCAATAACTTGTTTATTATTTTCATAAGTATGGTGTGATTGTTGTAATATTGTTTGAGCAGATTCATTTACATTAATATCTTTTTCATATACTTTATTAAATTTTGATTGTGAGCTGCTGCTACTGGTCGTTGTAGTACTTGAATTAAGTTCTTTGGCTTCATGAAAACTAACAGGTAGTATTGAATTTGTATTTGCATTTAATTCTTGAAGTGGTTCCGAAACATCTTGAACTTCAATATATTCGACAGGTTCGGAAATTTCTTCAACTTCAACATTTTCCACAGGTTTCGCAGCAAATCTTGAATTTAAAATTAAAATTTTACAAGCTAACTAGATAAAAAAAATAATTTTTTTTGCAAAAAAAAGAAGTTCCTATCTCTATTGCATACATATTGGAACAGAAATAGAAGTCACAAATAAAGAGGTATCTGAAGATTAAACAAAACGAAAGAGTAGATCTATAGAATACATTTTCAATGATAACTACTTATTGATTATGTATGAAGAGAATAAAGTAATTCATAGTAGATATTTAATTCTTGTAAAGGTGTCATATAATGCTTCACTTACTCTTCAAATGGTGTATCCATCGTTGAAATATATGTCATATTATCACTACCTTCAACATCATCTAATCGATCTTGTCTCATTCTATTTATAAATAATATTATGCATTTATATATAAATTACTAAATGAACTTAAACTTACTGAAGTTTCTCTCGCAGACGACTTCGAATATCACCTGGTACTAATTTTTGTTCAACATATTTAGAAAAATAAACACCACGACTTGCTATTTCTGTTCCTTGCTTCTTCCATTGTTCCATAAGTAATGTTCTATCAACTTGATCAACTTGCTGTTTTTTTCGTCGACCACGTTTCTTTGATCCAGTTTGTTGAATGTTCAATTGGTTGGCTTTAAGTCGAGCATTTGTTGTTGAATATAATTTCAATAGGAATTCCCCTGGTCGAAGATTTGTTTGCTGTCGAAGAATTGAGTGTTTCAAAATCTTGAAAAAGGATTCAATTGGTGCGTTGGAAACACGACCACCTGATAATGTTTTTGAATGTACATCATAAGTAGAATCAGATGCATACCTATTGTTACTAATACATTTAATAAAAAAGTTTATTAAATAGAATTTTCTTACCGATCTTGAAATTGATACATTAATCCCGTGAAAATAGGTAAGTAAGCAATCCATTTATAAAATATTTTAACTAATTCTTTAGAAAATAAAGGATTTTTAATATCTTTTTCTTTATTTCCTTTTGATTCATCAATAATTTTAGATAATATTGGTGAACGTTCTCGAGCAAGTTTCGTAAATGCTGACTGATGAAGAATTGGCTGTGATGATAAAAAAATATCATCTAATTCAGCCAACTCTTGTTCAATTAAATTGTCACCTTTGGTGATACTATCATCTTCAAAGAATTCTTCAAATTCAGGTAGATAATCAGCACCAGCCTAAAATCAGAAGCGGATATTGAAATAATACCTAAGGGTAAACAAAAGAGACTTCTTGCCTAAAGTCTCATGACGTATCATCAAATCTTTGAAATCTTTTAAAATCTTCTGAAATCTTTGAAGTCTCTGGAAGTCTTGCGAAATATTTGAAGTTTCTTGAAGTTGTAGGAAATCTCTTGAAATCTTTCTAATCCCTTAACGTTTGTGAAGTAACTTGAAGTCTTCCAAAATCTCTGAACTCTCTT